CATATGCATGTATAATACTGTGTTCAGTTTAGACTTTATAAGAAGAACCATATAATGCATTTGAATGGAACTGTTGCCCTGTATAAATGCCTTAAGCGTGAAAAGCGAACGTTTTATGTGTGCATATACATACATATATACATAYATATGTATACTTTCTACATATGTATTTACTATAATTGTAGTATATCTAATTTTCATGAAAGAGCAGTATTGGAATTTATTAATTGCTCTAAAATATGTAGTTAAAAATAGCATACACATTTTGTCCAAATAAAATGCATTTAATTCACATTGACATTTACTCTGCGAAGAGAATTACGCAGCTATGACCTCGGTATCGGAGACTGCGTCTTAGAAAAACCATCCTATCGATATAATTTAATCGCCAAYAACCTTCCGAAATCAGCGTTTTTTTCAGAGTGGGTCATGATCTATATATAGAGCCCTGAATGTACGTAGTCCCTCAAAAAGTCTCGCAGTATCAAACAGGATGTTTCACATATCCCATTGACAAGCAAATTTCGTGAAAAATTAGGTCGGTTAGCAACAAATCTTTCCAATAAAAAGTTGTTTGTTAGATCGGATTTTTTCAATCTGTTGGTTTATAGTTATAAAGAGTTATTCTTTTCGAGGTTCCCTACTTYTTTAAGAAAAAACACAAAAACTTCAAATGTTTATTATCATTCGAARGAACATTATTTGRTATTATTTTCTTAAGATTATCTCTTTCGAACGTTGGCCGCGACTATGTCTTAGATGCACCATCTGTTGAGTCCAATTTTCGATGACTCGTTCGAGCATTTGGACTGGGTAAGTGGCGAATGGCACGCGTGATGGTTTGCTCCAAGGCCTGAATCAAAGCGAGATTGTTCGCATAGGCTTTAGACTTTACATATCCCCACAGGAAAAAGTGTAACAATATGATATCACACGAACTTGGTAGCTAATTGACCGGCCTAAAATGTGAAGTTATCTGCTCAACGAAGTGTTCTCTAAATAAATAAATTGATTGGTATGATGAGTGGAAAGTATCTATGATGAGTGGGAAGTATCACCGTCTTGTTGAAACCAAATAACGCCGAGATCACGAGGTTAAATTTCAGGTATCAAATAGTCGGCTACCGTGGCGAGATAATGGTCACCATTGGCGGTTACATTCTCAGCTGCGTCTTTATGAAGAAATATGAACCGATAATTCCACCGGCCCACAAACTACACCAAATCGTTGTTTTCGAATGAAATGACAGCAATTTCCTCGCTACATACTCATTTAGCCAGAAATGAGCCTCATCGCTGAACAAAATTGGGCTCGAAAACGACGGATCTTCATGGAACTTTTCAAGAGCCAATAGAGCGAAGTGATGTTGCTTGGCAAGGTGGTCTACATGTGCACCACGGCTTCTAAATTTTTTTCACTGTTTGCTGGACGTGTTCTATTCAGTCGAATATTATTGAGTAATGAATGCTGGTTGCCAAGATGGGTGATGGTGTTACGAATAGTACGCTCAGTAGGCCGATTATTTTGAGTTGAACGATTTGTAAACGATGTTCAGGTGCAAGAAATAGCGAAAAATACTGAACAAAAGTAACAAATAACTTGGCATGACTCACGCGTGATCTGTCAAAAAAACGCTATGGAAAAACGGAAACCTCTTCGGAGATAACCCGTTATTATTAAGCTTCTATTTCATAATCCCTTTTCCTATATTTTGATTCTTTCGATGTTTTTCGTCGGGTACTCGAAGTTTGTAGAATAATGTTTAAAATTACTCAATATTTGAGTATAACTTTTAAATAATTAAGACTGAAAGTCCAATAGGCTAAGAAAACGTATGGTCGAACTTTTATTCTAATTGGAAAAAAACKTTTCCTAGAAAAAAAAGTAACGGATCCAAATTGTCGTAAACTCTATTTCAATCATGCTTGCCCCGACGATATATG